GTTTTGAAATTACAAGTAACCCTCTAATTAAGTACCCCTCTAAAATGACACCTCCAATTAAAGGCCATTTTACTGTGGTCCCAAAATAAAAAACGGCTTTTATCTTTATTATTCTAATTAGAGACCAAAGCTGCTAAAGACCATAGTCCCAAAAGAGGGAGAACAGTATAGTAAGCGTCTGTTAATTTGTAAACATAGAATGCATCATCTTCAACCTTATTGCACGGCAACAAAATAGGATCGGACTGTCCTATGTCGCCTCATTGTATGCATAAGCAAATATTTCACACGCATAGGAATATAAATTAGGGCCATTAATGTTTGTACCATGTGATTAAAAAATTATGGAAGCTTTGTATTGTTGTTTTTTTTTGTAGAAGGATGTATGGCTTTGCAATATGTGCTACCATCGTCGGCATCTGATAGCAAGTTCAGGTTCTTGGTACCATCGACAGAGAGGTAAACCACAAGGATCCGGGAGGCGAAGCAGTCTGGACGAAGCGACTATGGCGATAAATGCTGTAAGTTTCTTCACTGTGGAATGTTGATAAATATTCATTGTGATAATCTAGATGACACCATTTGTATTTGAAGCTTGCGCAAGAAATATTGAACTCAGGACTAACGGTATATTTATGCGATAAACATATTCAGTGAATAAATTCAAACTATAGAGGTACCGAAGATATAATAACAGCCCTTCTGATCGAACAAGAATATGTATTTTGTGGCTTCAAATGTGTAGCTGCACAATGCAAACATTAACAATACATTTTTAAGAATTTCAAAGTGAATCATTTAAGCAAAACTGTTTTAATTTGTCTCATATATTCTGAGTGAATTCTCAAGTAAGGCAGAGTTTTAATTGGGTTATATTATTTTTATTTCTATAGGGTCGTTTTGAAGGAAAACGATTCGAAAGGAATGCCTCGTTTTCTGAGTACGAAAATATCCGTGACTCGGTGCTGGAATCAGTTGACATCCAATACGTGCCAAAAGTGGCAGACGAGCTACGTAAAGTGGCGTCGGAGAGCCTAGAGCGCACAGGCATATCTGAAATAATATCAACTGGTAAGGCACAAAGCATTCTGAAAACCATTTAAACGGGAGAGCGTATGGGTCATCATGATGTAAGGCAGCTAGTGTATATTAAAGTTATAACTGTAACTAAAAATAAAGATACACCAAACAATTCCTGCATGCTAAAACCAAAGATGGTACGATAGTTGAAATCAATAGCAGGTGTTGAAAAGGTGCGTCGTCAGGCTTGCCTTGCAGATATTAAAGCCAGTACAACGTTTCTACAACACAAAGGATGTTAACGAAAAACTCGGGAACGGTTATGAGATACATATTTTTGAATATTTAAGTGGAAAAGGGGTTGTTATGCTCCTTTTCCCGCAGTTTTTAAATGTTTCAAAATCAATACCTTATTAACCGGTCCCAAGCTGTTTGTGTCTTAGAAAAATAAGTTGTGCAACATCAACAATTTCCTCCGAAGCCTGGCCTTAATAGAGGGTGCTTTTCTCAAATGTGTGATCTCCGTCAATTTGCATATTCATGTCTGTTCATTTGTAGACTCTCAAAACAAAAGCACCAATCTCTATAATTACTACTGACATTGTTTTTAACGCATCCTAAACATGCAAGTGTGCGATTAAACAAAAGACAGACGTGATGAAGTAGAGGTTCAAGCTTACTGATACGTCATGTGTGAAATCGCATAGTATAAAATGTGAAAAAAGATTAGCATAAACGGTGCTGCCATAAATTAACATAAATGGGGCTGTCATAATTTAGCTGTCATAGGTTAGCCTAAACGGAATTGTCATAAATTATCAGAAACGAGGAGACTAAAAACATAAAAAAGACAGTGTTTATCTACATTATAATAATGTTCATAAACCTTGTGATTATATATTAAATAAGATTCGAACCCAGATCTCTTGCTATAAACTTTACACAACTGAGCCACTGGGGTTTTCATTTGAAATTCTAATCCAATTATGGGAAATTGATTTCACACGTGCTAGTACAGCATTAGTATTCATAACACACACACACACACACACACACACACACGCACACACACACACACACACACACACACACACACACACACGTAAAACAGAGATCAATGTGATACGCTAACTTCGTTAGCTTTTATACCAAAAGACGGGATTTCTGAAACGTAAATGTAACCCAGGTCCTAATTCCGGACAATTTCTTCACACTCACAGATTTCTCTTCGTTATCGCTTGATTGACGGTCAATGAGAGGTTTATTTTACGTTTACGTTATAACGAGTTTTATTTCAATAAACAAATTAGAAAAGACATAAAATATTGTAATGCCAGCTCCATGTTTGTGAGGGTTGCCCTACCTTATTTTATGAACTTCTTACAAAGTAAGTTTTTTCTTTTATAACTCGTGTTAGTGAATTGAAAAAATGAGTTAATAATGTGCATTGTACAACATTTCTTATATCATCGATGATGAGCAAGACTTGAATTGTTATATTCTAAGTGCTACAGTATATAATGTATTATTCTGTTTTGTATCATATGGACATTTTTCCCGAAATAAATAAAGGGTATAGATTCTAATATAACTATAAATAATGTATTCTATTCTGCTTGCAGGGGTGAAATTCTTGGACCAACGATCGAGTAGTGATGAAGCACAGGAGTCACATGATCAACACAGTCGAGAACAGCCAGACAGCAATCAAGGTACAATGCCAGAGACATCCATGACGTCATCATTCTCAGCGTCAGATAGTGGTCTTGAAAGTATGCGTGGTGAAGACACAACTCCGACTCAAGTAGAAGATACAATACGAACCAGCTTAGATCTAGATGATGAAGAAATGAGGAAGATGCTAATACAAATGTCTAGTAACAGTATCGATGGGCCTGCACAAAAGAAAGATCATTCTCTGACTATGGATGTTACTAGCTCTGACCCACTACTGGAATCGTCTATTGTTGGTGCAAACATTGATAAGCAACAGGAGCTGGTCAAGCCTAATGATCATCCTGATGGTGCCACAAGTAGAATGACAACGCCATCTACACAAGATGTCATTGACCTGCCTACTATAAAAGAACGAAAATCTATCCTTGATAGTGAAGAGTTTAAATCTATAGAGGAACAAATTTATAGTCATACAGAAGGATTTAAAGAAATTTTTAAGTCGTTCAATTTTTCAGATAAAATAGGTTCTACAAGCTCACTTGATATGGAGTCAAGTAATGGTGATATTGATAGTGAAGAAGAAGATTTACAAATGGAGGCATTGGTCATTGATAAATCGTCAACTATAACTTCCGAAGAACCCTCTGAACTACAGAAAAGGGACAATGATTTAACGGACCTTACAGCGCCATCTTCTTATGAAGAAATTGAAATGATGCTAGCTAATGAAAAGCCTAAACGGCATTATTCTCTTGATTTTGAGAGCTTAAGTGACAGTGAGATTCGAGTTTGTGGAGGTAAGACCAAGTCAAAGAAGTCTATTGTAATTGGAGAAAAACCTTCACACTCAAGTAGTGATCCAAAACTTTCAGAACGAGGTCGTGCCCTTCTAACTGCTGAAGATTACCTCCAACAGGGTTGCTTTTTAGGTAAAAACACTGCAAAGTCTTCCTCATTTTACGGATTTCCGAGTGAGAAAGAAGAAAAGCCTGAAATGAGATACAGATCTGTAGGTGATTTAACCAAAATTGGAGTGGACACGGATCCCGATGAGTTTGTAAAACCCAATAGGTCGAGTCGCACGGCTACGCCTATTGTTGCAAAGTCTCAGTTTCAATATCCTTCAAATCGGAAACAGAAACCAAATTCATTACCCAAGAGGAAACGAAGTCGACGTATGGTCGAAAATCCTTTGTCACCAATCTGGGATGTAGATACTTCCGGATCACCAGGTCCCGACTACCCAACAGGAGATTTCCCATCTCCGGAATATGCTGACCCATCGCTGGCAGAGGAGTCTCCTCTGGAGTACGAAGACGAGGAGGACATTGACATTGAAGATGATTGCTCTGCACATGACAACACAAGACACTACAGCAACGACGCCCAAACTATAAGCGACATTTACGGAAGCGGAGATCTAGAGGATCTGCTTGAAGAGGATGATGAGGATGAGGAATTTCGTCTTCACGAAGAATACTCACGAAAAGCAAGCCTGACACCAGAAGATGCATTTCAGTTGGAAACTGTGATGGAAGAAGAGGAAGAAGATTATGAAATGCAAAATGGAGTAACATCACTTGGAAAACAATTAAATGGATCTCCCGAGAAATCGGGGGAATGTTCTGATGTTACGTTTGAATCATTTTCGTCAGATGCAGACAGCAAGGATGCATTATCTGAGATAAAATCTCCTAAGCACAGACCACCTCCATTAAAACTCTACCACGACCATACAAAAGTCATGCCTGCTTCTTCTAACATTGCGTCTAAACCAGACACACAGGTTCTGGAATCACCCCCAACACCAGTTGAATCTAGCGGTAAATTTGAAAAACCGATACTTAGTAAAGTTGGTGAAATTATTACCTCACCAGATGCTGATAAGCAAGATACAAGCAAAGAAGATGGACACACACTGGAAGAAAGAAAAAGAGTCACAAAGCATCCACCGAAACATAAACCCCCTCCACCACCTCCTATTCCCCCAAAACCAAAAAGATTGCAAAAAGGGATACCTACTCAAATTAAAGACATTAAACAAACGTCACCGAAAGCAGCTGCAAAAACCGCTCAATTTTTCCAAGAGCCACCGATGTCACCCAGACTATTAGCAACGTATAAGCAATTAACAGAAAGTAAATGCTCAGCTCAACCGACCAAAGATAAAATTGAAGGTTCTGGTGTAATCCATGAGGGAGAAAGTTTGCAAGAAAAGGTACAGCAATTCGAGCAATTTATCAAGGATACAAACAAGCAAAGTTCATTGCCAGATGCAACTGAAAAGGTCTCTAGGCCACGCAAAAAAGAAACGGAATCAGAATCCATAGATCAACCTGTATCAATTTCTGAAGACATAAAGCCCGAAAATAAAGAGCCATCACCTGCTCATCATACAGAACACACTGATGCAGTATTGAGTTCAAAGGCACAAGATGTAGGTACCTCTACACCCACACAACGCACTGTCACAGCCATCATGAAATCTGTTCATACCGAGATGGGTGAAAGTTTTGAAACACATGATGTTAAATCAACTACTACAGTTGCAACAAGTACAAGTAAAGATGAAGCTGCAGGTTCTATTAAAGATATTCGTAGTAAAAAGCATCAAAGCGTATCTGTAGGAACAGGAACAGTGTCAGAAGGGGAGAGGACTGACAGTGAGGGTGACAAAGTATCAATTGCTGTTATGTATACCTCGAAAGGTTCACATTTACTCTCAATACGTCCCCAAAAGCCAAAACCAGACACAGAAGTACGCCAACTAGAAAGTCCAATGATTTCGCCAACAGGACCGACTACGAGTAGCATAGCTGTAGGTACCAGTCCAGATGTATCACCTACTACATCCGATTCTGAACCATTATTTGTTCCAAAAACAAAGATGTTCCGAGAAAAAGGGGTCGGCACTGACCGAGACAATTTGGGTGCTGTTCCGTCAGCATCGTCACGTGCATCAAGTGGAGACTCAACACCAGAAATGGTAGTAAGACTAGGCAAGCGTCAGACAGTCACTGATGCATCAATGAACGCATCGATACCCACCTCTTCTTCTCGGCAATTGACATCTGATGGTCAAGTAGAATATTCCTCAAAGTGTTACTCATTAACAGGGACACCAAGCCATAAGCGACAAGCTACAGGCGTAAGTTACAACAATTTGCCAACAATCAACACAATGTGATTTTGAATTCTAATTGTAAATTATTAATATAAGATAGGCCTATGTCAATATGAATATGATTAAAATGCGATAGCTA